AGAGATGTCCTTTGAGTCTAGAGGACAGGAAGTGAATGGAAATCTCCCCAATATGATACTGATGTGAAAAAAAACTTGACAGGGGTGTTAACCCTCTATTATTCTATCCCAAATTAATAGGAAGTTTAGCTTTTGGATATAATAAATACTGTATATCTATAGACATCATACTATATACTGAGACGCCGCAGCTGAAACGGATCCCGACAATTATGTCTGGATCCGCCCTGCTGCGTGAGTGACAGCTGGCTCTGCCTATCTGGAGGCAGAGCCAGCTGTACCCGCCCCGTCCCCCATCCGTTCCGCCAGCGCTGGAGGATTGGAGCGGGGGAATCCAGTCCCTCCCCTGTCACGGCTCTCTGCCGTGACAGGATCGAGAAGTGAGCGAAGGCCGGTATGTGTTCGCTCACTTCCCAATCTACTGAGCCGATCTGTGACAGTCTCATTGTCACAGGTCGGCTAGAACTATGAGGATGAGTGAAAATCACTCACCTCATAGTTCTCCTTTAAACCAATATGCTGGGATTTTTGGTGGGTTTTTTTTGCATAAACTTTTTTTTTATCCCCAACAAAGGACAGTTACAGTAAGGGTTGCAAAGTCAGACACAGACGTAGACAGCTTCTTCATAGCTGTCTTGATTATATAATTTATAGGCCTCCAATGACCACTTGGACATTATGATGTCATACAGATATGGAATTATTGTCTCCACGGATTTTCATTTCTTTCGGCAAAGTTTATTTTAACCTTTTTGTTGCTGGGCCAATTTTTCCATGTTTTGCATTCACAATAATGTATGTCTTGAACCTGTAGAATTAGAATTAGAAATGCTGTGTCCCGCGGTACATGAGCATATGTCGTTCACAACTATATATTGATTTTTAAAATGCACTAAAATCAAGTATAAAAGATGAAGCAAGCAAAAGCAAGCGACAACTACATGTAGGCTGAAAATTGTGTGCATTTAACAAACATAAAGATTGTAAATCGGAGAGACATTAGAAAACTTTAGAACTTTAGAACATTAAAAAGATCTCTGAAATTCTTCTACCTCTGCCGTGTGGGAGTACATAATATGTAATGCAATAGGCATTTATGTTTACTTGCGAGCCCTAACAGCCTGTGTGTGGACGTTGTGTGTATGTGGGGGATTTTCTTTAATTCTTTATAATTCTTTTATTTTTGATAATAAGTTTTACTGTTTTTATTAGTGAACTTGGGGGCTGACATAGTCCTTATGTTTTTTTTTATGGGTACATCAGGGGACCTAAATAAACTCATGATACCTCATCTGTTTCTGAACAGAGTCCTTCACTTGTAGCCCCCTTGGCATTTGCTGCCCGTACACTAAGTCCCTGTTCACACTATGCATTCACGCACGGTTCTTGCCTTCTTTGCTGTGCGTTGGCCATTGATTTCAGGAGAAATAGATGCTGGTGCTGAAGTCTTGGCACAGGAATCCCTTGCTTTGTTAAAGGAACTTTCACAATGTGCAAGCAAGCTGCTTTTTCCAACCTGCTACTTACTGAGCAACTGCATATGCTAGGTTACATGGGTGCAGCATATGTAGTCCATCACCATATACTACTACCTTTCTCTGTATTAATAAGGTATATGCATAAGAAAGCTTTGTGCGTGATTGCTATCACCCAGTGAAAAAAAGAAGCTCAGCTTTTTTGTTTAAAATTTGTTATATACAGAATTTGATTCTAAAAAAGTGTTGAAATGAACAGATTCATGTCTTTTCTTCAATTATACAGGTTACTTTGTTTATACAGTGCCCTACTTATTGACCTGCCTTCTCCCCACAGAGCACAGTGGACAAGCTCATAAAGAAAACAAACCTGGCCCTGGTGATTGGTACCCATTCTTGGAGAGAACAGTTTATGGAAGCCATCACTGTCAGCGCAGGTGAAACAATGCTCTCCGTAGCTAATGGTGTCAACCCAAGGTGGTGCACTATGCCTGCTACCCAATATTATACAATATGATATGCCTGCATAGAAGAATCAAAGCTATTTGCTGCCCTCTTGTGTCTGTGATAGAAAATATGCAATGAGACAGCTGTGTTTTCAGTTTTTGGCACATCTCATTTATTAAGAGGCCCCAGCAGAGTATGATTTGTGGTATTCTCATGTGGCCTCTCGAGAAGCAATTACTGACAGCTTCATTGAAACTGATCTGCCTGTGTATAACCAGATGTGCTCACACGTATTTTGTCTACTTGGGATAATACATATATAGAGATACTGAAAATGGTAACGTATGGTTACATGATTAATACACTGTGCCCTGGATCCTAATAGCTGCCATATATGTATTTTTAATGCCATCAAGCAGTTACCACTATATGTTAGTATATATGTAATGGTTCTCCTAATTTGCCTTTTATTATTTGATTGTATCTGTATTGTCAACTCAGGTAATAGAGCTTTATTGAAAGCTGTGGGAGTGCCTTTGTGCCAAACTTTTTCAGCAGACGTTATTTTATAAGAACACGAATCTTTGAAAGTGCAGTAACCCATAGCATTGTGTCATGTTTAGGCCACTGTAGTGAGATAAAAGTAAAAGGGCTGTATCATGTCATTACAATTTTGGATTAACAAATACAGAAGAAAATTGAGAGAGGGAGGGTACAGGAGACTGACAGCACATTTGGTTGCTTATACCTGCTTCTCTGTCCCGCAGGTGACGAAGAAGAAGATGATGATGGCAGAGAAGAAAAGCTACCATCTTGTTTTGATTACGTCATGCACTTTCTGACTGTGTTCTGGAAAGTGCTTTTCGCCTTTGTGCCCCCCACAGAATACTGGAATGGTTGGGCCTGCTTCTTTGTCTGTATTAGCATTGTGGGGATGCTGACTGCAGTCATTGGGGACCTGGCCTCACACTTTGGCTGCACCGTTGGACTCAAGGACTCAGTCACCGCCGTGGTGTTTGTTGCACTGGGCACATCCATCCCAGGTACAGTAATTCATCTCCCACAAATAGCTTTCATTTTTTTTTATCATGCTACATAGAAGATGGGTGTAGAAGGTGTTTAGTTAAGCTGAAGGGATTTCCTAAAGCAAGTCCTGCAGGTCAGAATCTTGGTCAGGTTGAGTCATCTGTTTCTATTGAAACAGGTTTAGCTGATATTATTTATTCTTTTGCAAATAAGGTGTATTATTAAGTTCTATAATTGATCAGACTTTAAGATTAAAAGAGATATTTCAAAAGTGACAGATAAAGTGACTCTTTAGAAGTTAAGGAACACATAGCTGAGATGCCATAGAAGTGTCTGTGCATGCACCTCCCTCCTACCTAATTGATATAAACATATACAGTTGGGTAATGGCCATGTCTTCACCTTAGACTGTTCTTAAATGTCTATGGTGAGCTTAAAGGCAACCTGTGCTGAGAGCAAGGCTTCCATTGCGATCTTCACCTTCTATAAATACTAGTTGATTAGCTGCCATGCTGATCCAATTGCCACTGTGCTTTCTAAGTCAATGGCCTGGAAGAAGCATGCCGCCAACGAAGTAATCAGACATCCTGATCTTACATAGATGCATAGTTAGGTTTAAAAAAAAAGCGCAAGTATATTGAGTTCAGCCATTCAATCTGAATACTTAATCCTGATAAGTGAGTCAAAAACAATTGAAACCACTGGATCAGCACGTGCCCAGATAACTAACAGAGTCAACAATGGAATCGGCACGTACCCAGACAACTAACAAAGTCAACAATGGCAGACTACATCCTGTATTTCTCTGACTTAAAGTTCCATTTAACCTATGCACCAAGAAGAAATCCAGATAATGTAATTCACTTTTTAATTTCTCTTTTGCAGACACATTTGCCAGTAAGGTGGCTGCACAACAGGACCAGTATGCAGATGCTTGTATCGGCAATGTGACAGGCAGCAATGCAGTGAATGTCTTCTTGGGCATCGGAGTGGCCTGGTCCGTTGCTGCGATCTACTGGGCCATCCAAGGCAAAGACTTTGTGGTGGATGCCGGCACTTTGGCCTTCTCAGTCACACTCTTTACTATCTTCGCGTTTATCAGCATCAGTGTCCTCTTGTACCGCCGCAGGCCCCATATAGGCGGTGAGCTAGGGGGGTCTCGTCTCTCCAAGATCCTCACTTCTCTATTTTTCATTAGTCTTTGGCTCCTCTACATCTTGTTCTCGAGCTTGGAAGCCTACTGCCATATCAAGGGCTTCTAAACGTCAATGACAATGCAACGAGAGGCTCTCTCGTCCAGAACTCAAACATTCCATGGGCTGACACTCACATAGGTTGTGAGACGTAACATTAGGGTGAAGTTGAGGGCAAAAAAATGGGGATAATTTATTTATTTATTTTTGTAATTTTTTTTTCATCTTATTCATCCTCCATCTCATGTCATTTTAGATAAGTAGCACGATTCACAAAAACAGTTTGGCACTGGAAAGAATTTGCAAGTCAACCTGAATTCCTAAATGACTAAAATAAAGAAATATACTGATCAAAAGAAGAGGAAGGACATTCCACTGGGCCTTTTAGGACCCTGCTGGTGCCTAGATTGCTTAGGAAAGGAATTGTCTAATGTCAATAACATATGGACAGGAGTTGTTAGTGCACCTGTTACTTAAAGAGAACGAAACAACAAATCTACGTGTGCAGCCATTTTGGAGCTGATATAATGTCCGGCTCATCTTTCCAATATGAGCTGAAGGTCATTTCCACCCAAAATTGATATTCCATTACTTGCAGATATCTAGGGTTAGAATCACATGATAGCTTGAAATATCTGTTAGACGCTCTGGTAATGAAATTTCCTAGTATCGGCTTATATTGCTGTTTCCTACATACAAAAATAACAATATCACTGTTTTAGGGCTTATTCACAACACATGCAATTGAAGTTGCAGGCAGTATTGCATGCTTAGCAACATGTATTGGCATGGGTTTTTAGATGCATTGCAATTGATTTTTTGAAGGCTTCTTGTTGACATGAATGGGAAACTACTTGTCAACAAACCCAAAGCTGCACTATGCAGGATAAATTCAAAGCACAATATTTGATGAGCAATGAGCTCCAATACTGCCCAAAAAAATAAGCCAGTGCTTGATAGAATTGCAGCTAAATCCTCAGTCATACTAAAAGAAACAACAGATTATTCCATAAACTCTACCAACTTTCTCTACCTAAAATGTGCACACTGACAAAATCCAAATTCAAAAAGACTTTTCAGCTGAAATGGCAAAATCATTCCAACTTAAC